ATCTGGCAGTCTATGAAGAATGCTTAGCAGCTTATGTTCAAGTTAAAAACTATTACAGTAGTTAGTGAACTAGAGAAGTTTATTTTAAACCCACATTGGAAAACTATGTAATTTTGTCTTATTTGTTTTCCTACAAATAAAACCTGGCTATCTCTCATTGGGATCAATTTACAATATATAGTATAGAGTATAGACTATAGAGCATGCTATTGTTCTATAACCAGAACCCTAAACCTACTCTCCAAAGAATCTCTCCACCCAAACCCCGCCCTCTCTCTTATCTTTCCTCTCCTACCTTCCCTCCTCCCTTCCCCTCTCTTCAAACCCAAGCCACACCCTCAAACTCTGTTGTGAATGCAAAAGTCTATTATTGTAGATGAATATCATGATATGAATCATATAGCTTGGGAGATGATGTATATTGCTATCTCAATATAGATGCAATGTGACAATCAAGTTACAATATCTATCGCAAAAAGCTGGGCTTTAATGAGAGAAGCAAACATATTGAGATTCATTATCACTATATTCATGGTATGGCAAACTAAGAAGATTGTCAATTTTTTTAAAATACTCATTGGTGTTACCTTCTACAAACATTAGCTACAGAAAGCTTTTTACTTTTATGTGACAAGGTAGTGATGATTGATATATGTACCAACTTGAGGGGGTATTAGAGTAGTTAGTTTATTAGAGAAGTTTAGGAAGTTTCACACTGTCATTGCTTCCTGTGTGTTTTCCCATAAACAAACTTTCATTTTCCCTCGTTGGCATTGATCTATGGAGGTGTAAAAAGTAGACAATTCCCTGTCTTGATTTGCAGACGCCTTCCTGATAAATAATAATATTCTAATAAAATTCTAGATCATCAGTAATGATTGTGATCTATATCATTTGCTGCATACTAGAGATCCCCTGCCTGCGAGGCACCTTCCGAATGTGGATACTCTTGAGTCCTTGACCATCATCTTTTCTCTCACTTGATGACCTATGGGTTTTTACCCTCATAAACTGGACAGGACTGAAAACTTCCAGTTAGATGTCTTCAATATCCAGAGACTTTCATCGATGGATTGATTTCTATTGTGGCATCCCCATCTCTCTATATATGCCTGCAAATTCATCTTTCTGACAAAACTCTAAAGCCCCTTCTTGCTTGTGAAATTTAACCCACCTAGAACTTCCTAATTTCTACAGGAGTGATTATGATACGCCCCAACTAGAGGCATCACTTTAGTAGCCAATAATTCGTCAATATTCCAAATTTCGAAGTAAAATCCCCTCAAACTTAAGGAGGTGAGCCATCTATGCGGATCATTGTAATTTAACATAAGATGCTAATTTTACCATGGTGATGTGTATAGTTATTTGTTTTTACTCGTATCGTTTCCATTTTTTGTTATAATCCTTTTAAATGGAAAATGGAGGATATATCAGAAATTCTAGACTCCTCATAACTGAGCATTAACTTCAAAGTTACACAGTAAAGAAATTATAGAGAAATAGTTTTAAAAAAAAACTTTATTAGAACACAAGTCCGGTGCAAAGCCTCAGTCAAAATATTAACTTTCCTAAACTTAAACCAGAGCTATATACAGAAAATAAATGGAATGTATTACACTGTGTTGTAGAAAAAAATAGGCGTAGAAAAAATAGGCAAACATTAATAACACCAATTCAGTTGATTAATTATAGCTAATCCAAGATAAATATAAGGTCGATTCATCAAAATTCGAGCATAAAAATGATAATTTGTTTAAAACCTCCGTAGATCGAAGCAAATTCACCAGGAACAGCCCTAAAACCCTAGACGAAGCTGAAACTGACAAGAAAAACCCTAGAAAGCAAGAAATCATGCAAATGAGAAATTCCTAAACACCGAATTCACCAAGAAAGAAGCTCAATTTGACAAAAAATCGCACCTGATTCGTGGAAAACTCAGCTCGACGAAGATCTTAGAGAGAGAAATGGGAACTTTTAAGAGAGAGATACAGAGAGGGAGGAGAGATATGCTGAAACTGATGGGACCCTTCTATTTGATTAAAAAAAAGTGAAGAAAAGATTTGAATTTAGATCTTCTGTTAATCTCAGCCATCCGTTTGAAATGGATGTTTGAGTGCTCGTTAGATGCTGTCCATTTTGAAATGAACGGTTTGGATCCGTCACCCGTTATGTAAGGTGGCCGTTGGTTCGCATTATTCTATGGTGGATGGCATTTTGCGTAAATGTAGGGCTATGTAGAATATAAATACCCTATTATGACGAAGATAACCCACATAGAAATTAATAAAAAAGATAGGTATAGTAACAAATATGATAATAAATTGGATCAATACAATTAAAAAATGTCATGTAAATGTGCTAATTACGAAAAAAATATTCTTAGAAATATTCTCACGTGCAACTATCAAAAGGTACTGACGTGCAATTTTTTTATAACTTAGAATATTAAAAAATTATTTTTTTATAACTTATGATATTAAAATATTATTTTTTACAACTTAAAATATTTAAGCATAAACAATAGGGTATTTAAGTGCCCTTTGTGTTTCTTCTTTCTTGTACCTAAGGTCCTCCAATTATGTTAATGTGATTAAAACACCTTAAAAAGATACAAGCATACAATACATAATTCTTATTTATTTTGTTATATTACGAGTTAAAATTGACTCGCATGATATCACGGCATTCATGTAAAAAACTAAAATAGAATAATTTAAGCATTTGGTTTCAAACTATACTGTACATCTAACTGCAATGAAAAAATATATAGCAAGTTAAAGAAAATATAACAATTCTATCCATACCAACTGCTAACAAACAAATCGGATTTAAAGTTAATTTTTTTAATATGTTGGATATAAGGTGATTTAGGAAAAGTGGGTGGATCTAAAAGTAAATGGTGGTGAATTTCCTGGTGGAAAAATGTTGGGTTTGTGTACTTTGATTCTTTGTATAATTTCATAAGAATTAAATAAGATTAGAGGTTTATCATGATTAAGAGATTAGGTCACATCATAATACGGAGTTTGTATCCCATTATAATTCTCATTCATCCAATGGCTAGGATTCAGTCAAACAGTCAACAGATACATGCATTAATTACATCAACGTAGTGAATCCAGATTCATTACAGTGAACCCAAATTCATTACCTCAACGAACACGTCCTTCACTGTAGTGAATCCAGATTCATTACCTTAACGAACACGTTTTTCACTGCAGTGAATCCAGATTCACTACAGTGAATCCAGATTCATTACCTCAACGAACACGTTTTTCACTGCGGTGAATCCAGATTCACTACAGTAAATCCAGATTTGTGTTCGTTGAGGCAATTAATGCATGTAATTAATGCATGTTCTGTTGACTGTTTGACTGACTCCTAGCCATTGGATTCATATATATATATATATATATATATATATATATATATATATATATATATATATATATATATATTCTTTTATTATTGGAGGAAAAACCAAGGAGAAAGAAGAGAGATTGAGCCAATATTCTTGTAATCTAGGAAGCAAAGGGCGTAAACTAAATTCAAGAATGTTAATGTTAAATAATCAAACAAATAAATTAGTCGAATGAGGTTGATCAATGTCAGCTAACTTTTCTGAATATCTGGTTTGGAGTTGAGCTGTTCTTCTCTGCACGTACATGTAGGCAATAAAAATTTCCTTTATCCCAAAATTTAGAAGTTCGCCTGCGGGACTTCGCCTACGTGATCAAGATATCGCAAGAACAAAGCCCATTTGGCTTGTTCGCCTGCATCAAACGAGCTAAGTCAAGCTGCCTGAACGCTTGACTTCACAGGCGAAGCGAAGTTCGCATGCGTAGTGGACTTCACCCAAAAATAACTGAGCTCACCTGAACGCTCAGTTCGCCAGCTTGTGAATTAGCTCGCCTGAATGCCTAGCTCGCCCACATTAGCTAAGCTCGCCTGCAGGAGGTTCGCCCGCATGAACCAAGCTCGCCAACAGGGTTTAAGCTCGTCGAAACGCTTCTGAGGTTCGCCTGACAACCTCTCTTGTTCGCCAAGTTCGCCTGCAAGCTCGCCTGAGCATTCAACCCATACGCTAGCTCGCCTAGCTTGCTTGCTAGCTCGCCTGAGCGGTTAAAATCAATTCCCACGATTTGAGGGATTTGGATATGGTTCTCCTCAGCTATAGTTATGGGAATAGTCACTTCCCATGATTTAATAGAATGTTTATGGTCCTCCTCAACTATAATTGTAGGAATGGTCACTTCCCACAATTTAAGGGATTGGCCATGACTCTCCTTAGCTATAAATAGCCATATTCGGCTACATGAAAAGGAAGGAGGGGCTCTCGGACTGATCTTGATTTTGGATAATCTTTGAGATCACATTCTTGCATCTTGCTGGAACTCTTTTGGCAAGCGGTCTTTTGGGAGATAAAAAAAAAAATCAAATTTTGCCTCTTGAGCATTTGACCTTGATTCCAAGCTCAGGTGATCGAACTCTTCATCTCAAGTTTCTACCATGCATTGAAACTTGCCCGCAATCTCGTTCAAATCGTCCAAGGGAAGCAAACTCGGCACGGGCATCGAGGGAGGCATCCTATCGCTACCAAAGAACCCACGTTAAACAAGGAGAGATAGAATCAATTCTCTTTGCTTCTGAGTAAAAAGTGATTTATTGATTTGTAATACAATTTCAATTAATACAAATTCAGAATCAAATTTTACGACCTACAGTACAACAACTCATAAGATGGGGACGGGTTCCCCCATTGTTCCTTCGACGATCAAGTCAACTAGGTACTTGAGTGGAAAAGTGGTAAACTGTAAGAGTTCTTAAGTACAGTGGAATAGAGAAAAATGATGAGAAAGTTGCTACATTTCCTATTCAAGTACCTAGGCGACTTGATCGTTGGAGGAACAACGGAGGAACCAGACCCCATCCTTTTATGAGTTATTGTACATGCAGGAAAGAACAGCTCAACTCCAAACCGGATATTTGGAGAAGTTAGCGGCACCTCATCAACCTCATTTTGACTAATTTTTTTGTTTGATTATTTAACATCAATAGTTGGCGCCCACCGTGGGCTTTCTCTCTTTTTTGAGTAAGCATGTCTGGTTCTGAGCATAGGGTTGATCCATTCATCCTTGGAGGACCGCATCAGGGCTATGTCTGTTGGCCTTCTTGTTTTGATGATGATTTACAAACAATTTACAACTAATATTGTTTGTCTAGTGTTTGTGTTTTCGTATTTATTCTAGGCAAACAACGAGTTGGAGGTTGGATGGATTGAGCCTACACGATCATATCAAGAGGAGGTTGGCGGAACTGTGGAGTGAAGCAACATACAATTCAAGTTAAAGATCAAGTTCAGCTTCATCCGCAAGTGTACCAAGTCAAGCTTATTGAAGATCAAGATCTAGCTTGGGTAACTTAGTTTAGATTTTATATTATGTGTGTTAAGTACCTTAAGCTCAATATCATATACACACACGTATTTGGTTTCTATGTATATATATAGTTATGTATGGTTTTGAGTTTTCATGCTTTGGACACACTTGCAAAATACATGAGTTTTCACAAATAAAAATTCAATTTGAGAAATTCTTTTGCTAACATGTTTGTTTTTATGTTTACAAACATTTTCACGTATTTGGTTTCTATGTATATATATAGTTATGTATGGTTTTGAGTTTTTATGCTTTGGACACACTTGCAAAATACATGAGTTTTCACAAATAGAAATTCAATTTGAGAAATTCTTTTTCCAACATGTTTGTTTTCATGTTTACAAATATTTTGCAAAGTTTCATCAAGTTTGGAATTGATTTGCTATGTTTAATGGAATTTACAAAATCATGTTTTTGTTCGTGCACATGTTCGTGCATGTTTTACAAAACAGATAAGTTTTCATAAATGGGAAGCGGTATTCAAGAAATTCTTTCTTTGACATGTTTATCTACATGTTTAGAAACTTTCCTCAAAATTTTACTATTTTTGGAGTTTATTTACTGTGCCCAATTGATTTTACAAAATCATGTATGTCAGCAGTTTTTTAGAAACTATATATCTGTGTTCAAATATTTATTTATCTCAACTGGGAATTTCTTTTTCATAAATTCTTTCTCTAACATGTCATTCTACATGTCTAGAACCTTCCTACAAAATTAAATAATTTTTGGATCTGTTTTAATATTTTTAATTGATTTTACAAAACTATATGTGTAGTGCTACAGTAATGAGTTATTTATCTCAACTGGGAATTTCTTTTTCATAAATTCTTTCTCTAACATGTCATTCTACATGTCTAGAACCTTCCCACAAAATTTCATAATTTTTGTAGCTGTTTTACTATTTTTAACAGATTTGCACAGTAACGGCTAGTTCTGTTTTTTGTTTATTTTAATGTTTTGGGGGTGTTTTTCTTGGTTTTTGGACTTGTTTCATGAGCCTATATATACCCCATGCCCTCATACTTCTAAGATGACTCAAGAAATATTTTAAATAAGTTTAAAGAGTTTTAAACAAGGGTTTAAGTTTGTTTAATGTTTGTTTAGAAGCTTTTAAGCAATTGGGTGTTTGAGTTTGAGAATTCAATTCCACAAGAGCTTGAGGAGATCATCTATTAGAGTTTGAGCAATCAACTATTCTCCCTCCATCTCTTGTCATCTATTGAGAAGTTTTCTAAACTCAATCTAGCTTTATATTGGGTTGTGAGAGTTGTAACTTTGAGTGTGAGCTTTCATTGTGTTCTCATCCATAGTAGAGAACAAATATTGTATTGAGCCTAATTATGAGATTTACTTTGTAATACACTTGTACACCGAGAGGAGTGTGTGGTGAGAGTCGGGGATCGTCCCAAGAGGAGTGGCGTCGGTTGACGAGCCTAGGGAGAGGTTGTAACCGAGCACTTGAGGAGGAGGACACGGGCTAGGACCAACACTTAGTGTGTGAGGTGTGATTGCATAGTGATTGTATTGTGAGGTGTAAACGTTGTTCGGGTGAACGTAGAAAACCCGGT